GAGAGCTTGACAATTTAAAACAAATTAGAGAAATCGCGATTTAAGAGAAAACAAAAGTATAAAATCGTGATTTCTCTGATGCGTTTAAAATCGTCAACGTATCTGAAGAAAATGAATAATAAATAGTGTTATTATGGAAAATCGATGGCTACGTTTTAGCTTTAATAAAATTTTGGACAATGTTTTGTAGATTTTATATGAAATCCTCATTTATTAACTATACTCACATCTTTAAAATCAACGAAATTTACAGTGTAGATCATGTATTTGTTTTATGTATTACATAATAAAAATGTTATACAAAAGAAACTGCTTATACATATAAATCTATTGTAATACATTAAGTAGTGTAAAAGTATATATATTTCAAGCATACGGTTCAATTCTGCTATTTGGAATTACTTCTAGAACTCACTTCAAGAACGAACCATTGCTTTCATCAAATATTACATATAATTGTTGTGTCACGCACTAGAGTCGTGTCATAAGGGAGAAGATCATAGTTAAGGTTATTACTCAAGAATATTCAAGATTATTGCGTAATAAATAGATCGGTTTTTATTGTTAAAAAGACTTTTTTATTTGTAAATGAACGATGGTCATATCCATTAGAAAAGACGGAGCTTAACAATAATATATTGTTAAAAATAATAGTTGTTTGATAATCCAACAACGTTAAACTCTTCGCATTTTTAAGGATTATCTTCGTAAATTGTTGCCTATATCGCCTATTTACTCATACATACAAACACATACATACTCACACCTATGTGCACATATACACACACACACATGTGCAGTGGGCATCCAGTCAAACATTTAACACAGAAGTGAAGCTACGCTTTTCTGTTTATATTTAATATAAAACTCGTTTACGCTAGATGAGTTAAATTCACGAGAAAAACTTTACTAACTTCTAACCTAGACAGAGTAAGTTAATTGAACGAAAGAAAGATGTGATCAGGTAATGTAACGAAATCGAGGATGCTAAAAGAAAGATAGAACAAAAAATGATTTTATTATTTAAAAAGAGCCATTTGGATGCGTTAGAACGTACCTTATCTGAAAATCTTGAAACAACAGCTTCTAGTGCAAATTGTTCAGGTGTTAACTTTTCACGCCGGCTATTTTCACGTTTTAATAAGAATTTGAATACGAGTGAAAGTAGAAATGCACAACACATAAACCCGAGCATAATACAATGCCCTTTATGATAGTATGGCGAATCATTTTCTATTCCATAAATAAATCCACTAAGTATACCACCAATACTACCAAAGCCAACAACTAGGGCCGTAACTACAGCACGTTTGGTTTGACCCCCAATATTATTTGTTGCCCATGAAAGTATCAATGAACTAAGGGTTAATGAACCAATACAAGCCATAAATGCACCGAAATATAATGCCACATTTTTAGATAAGATCAAATAAAGAAAACCACAGATACCAATAAGTAACAATGATGAAATATGATAACCACGTTCTTCCATACGTCCACTATTCCATGAAACCAGAATTGTTATCACACATGACACAACATACGGTGGTATTG